GGGGAACCATGGCAACGGGGACTCTACGGCGGCCGCGCGGGGCCCGGCGGTGCCGCGTTCCCCGGCTCGGGAGGAGCAAGGAGGCGGGACTCCGCGGCGGAGGGGCTCCGGAGAGCAGGCGTTCCCCCGACCCTGACCTGGTCCTCCCCCACGTCCCCACCCTCCACCTTCCGCAGACTGCTTCCCTTTCCCCAAATCAACTGGCCAGACTAAACAAAGAACCACAGGACGCTTATTTCCTGAGGGGAACTGCATTCTAGGCGTGCCTCTTAGCCTGCCCCTTGTGTTTTTATTTAATGCCTACCGAGCCCGGAAATCTGGAATTGATCCACACTCCATTTACCAGAGTTGTGACCTTAAACGTCCTTGGCCTCAGTTTCCACCTCTGCAGGATGAGTACTAATAACAGCCTCCAAGGATCATTGTGAAGCTTTAATGAGCTAATTTGAGTGAATGAAAGACGCCTTTTGAAAACAGCAGACTCAGTGTCTAGGGTCTAGCAGGCTGCCCAGGAAAGGTGCCCCATCCTTTTGTACATTGGACTCACCTGGTCTTGGGATCTTTTCACCAAAATCTAGAACTAGAGATCCTTCTGGGATCAGGGTCTTGACAGATTGTTTGACATTCTGGTGGAATAGAGAAGAGGTGTGAGTGATAAAACAGGAAAACCAGGAATACTTACTTCCTAATTTGTCATGGGCCAGGCGGGGCTGGTTATACTGTGTTCTTCCTCAACCCAACATCACCGACACTGTGTTTCTTAGAAACAGGAGGACCTATGGGGCATGAAGAACAGGTGCACAGTGTGCTGTGCGTGTTTGAGTCCACTGACAGGAAGGGAAACTGGGACATAAATCACAACGTGACAGCTCCAAGTAACGTCAAGTTCATTTCATTCAAACTGAATGTGGTATTTAGAGAGCCACGGTGTGTGTCTGCTTATGCAAATCACTATTCAAAATAGACTTGTTTCTTTGGCTCTTGGAAATGTAACAAGATGAGCGGTGCTTCCTGAGAAAACTGCTGCAACATAGTCTATATATAAGTAGAAATAAATTTTGAAGAGGGCCTCCTACTTCTGTTGTGCTGGATAAATCCCAGGGACATTGACCTAGAAAGCTATTCAGTTCTTATTATCTTTATTATTATATAGAACTCAGTAGTTTTATGATGTGTAACTAATATAGTGGTTACAATTCTATTGTACTTTGTTTGCATTAATTTTCCTTCAGAAGAGTTTCCTCATTGCGACTTTATGACAAATAAAGCTAGCTCCCAAGCTTACCAAAACTACAATTGCAAGTCCTTCCCTTCCTCCCTTCCTTCCTCCCTCCCTCACTCCCTCCCTCCCTTCCTTCCTTCCTCCCTCCCTCCCTTCCTTCTTTCCTTTTGGCCTTCTTTCTATCCATCAACGAATGTTTAAGTGCCTTCCATATACTAGGCACTGTCAGGAGTAATTGAGACAATACTCATTAAACAGTGGAGGAAACAGTCTACTTTTTTACCAACCCAATGAAAAAGACATGAGAGAAATCACACTTACCTGCTTTGCTTGCCTCTGGGGAGACTGGAGGTGAGTAGCATTATTTAAGTTGATCTGTTGTACCCATCTGAGGGATCACTTCTCCCAGCTGGTAAACTGATGGCAGGAAATGAGAAAAGGGGTGGAATGGGACAGCTAGGTAATTCTCCAGGGCTTTCTTGATCCATATCTATGGATATGAATTTGTGTTATTTGATACAATTCCTCAAACATTAGACATTCCAATAATCAAATGGAAGTAGAAAAATACATGTCAAAATCAAGTGTAAAATGATTTTTAAACGATTTTATTTATTTTTGCCCTCTGCTGAAAAAGAAGCTGAGGCACATTACATTTTCACGAGTTTATCTGAGCAAACATGGATTTGAATCAGGCAGTGCCAAACCCAGAGTGGTTAGGAGCACCACGCTAACAAGAACTAGGGGAGAGGTTTTTATAGAGAAGACAGGGAAGCAAAACAAGGAAATTGTTTGACTACCGCTTAAGCAGTTGCATGTTTGGGAAAGCCTAGGTGGCTGTTTCTGATTGGTTGTTCTTGGGTTTTGATTTCTTAACCTTGAGGCATTTACAGGCATTGACTCTGGGTGGGCTTTGGTTTGCTTACAAGGCTGCCAAGACATTAGAATCACCTCAGTGTAATGACCTCCTGGTTTAATTAGTTTAACACCTCCAAACTTCTGCCCATCTCTGTTACCTTAATAAAAGAAAAAGTTGACATTTTGGGAAGAACTTCTACTGACTTGAATACGCCCAGAGGAGAGTAACCAGGGTGTCCCTGAGGACTCGAGAACTGGAGCCTTAAGCCAGTTGCTTGACTGCGTTGTGTCTCAGTTTCCCCATCTGTAGGATGGAAAAATGAAAGTGCCAACTTGATTGGGTTTGAGCAAGGTTTAAAAAAGATGATACGTAAAATGTTTTCCCATAGTAAGTGCTTGATACATCTCAGTTTTCATTATTACATGTGAAGAACGATGGAGAGCAATGAGGTTAGCTCATAGAAGAAAGAATTGTCTTCAGGTATTTGCAGGTTTGCTATGTAAAAAAGAAAATGGAAAAACACTTCCTAAGACCTGATTAGAACCAGTGACTTGAAGATAATGAGGCAAATCTAATCCCAGTGTTAGAAAAACCTCTCCCAAGAAACCAAATTTTCCAGTGGTGGGTGGAAAGATTTAAACATGCATGGATACAAATTATTTTACATTCTTCTCATTGAAAAGCTAGAATAAAATAATTGCTTCATTTCCCACGAGGTTGGCCAGTCTCAGATAGGCACCTGCATCCCCTCTCCCTTTCCAGTCTCCTGAGCTGCTTCCTCATTTGCCCCTCAGCTCTGTCTTCCCCCCTGCCTTGCCGTTCCATCCTACCATGCCCCTTGGGTATCTGTTGTTTCTGGATCCTCCCTAGCCTCAGTGGGAGGAGACTAAGTCTTCCAGAGTCTTCTGAGTAAATCATCTCTAGCACAGAGTAGAATCTTGCTCATATTGACTGTCTCTCGTAGCCTCATGTTTGAAGTGGACATTTGTTTTGTCCCAGTATTTACTCCTCTGGGTCTTGTTGGAGGGCAACTCCAGGAGCTTGTTTCCTGATACAGAAGCCAAAGTTACCCCTAAACCCTTTTTGTTCTGTTTCCAGGGTCAGCTTTCATTACTAGCAACAAAGAACTCTAACTGATACAACTTTGATGCATTATGATGCTAAGAGATACCCTCCCCATTGGTCGGGACAGGAGCAGAAACCAAAGGGTAAAGGAGGTAGAGAGTTCAGTTCTGCCTCTGTTACCATCCCAAAGCCTGACCCATGAGCACACATGTCTACAGAAGGGAGATGCATTGATCTCAGAAGGCTAGTGACAAAGGTTTTTCCTTGATTCAGTTATTTGTTTGCTTCCAGCTCAGGAGTTCTGTCATTTTCTAGTACTTCCTGGAAGGCATATGATAGCAGGTGCTGAAGGCCTAAAAACATTTTATAGAAAGGAAAGTAAAAAATGTATCCACTAATTTAATTCTCTCTGAGAACTGGGTAGACAACAGCTCTGTTCAGTTTCAGTGTTAGAACACCCGAGTCTAGCTCATGGAGGACCTGAGATCCACAAGACAATGATTTGAGAGCGACCGAGCTCCACTATAGACGGGGATATGAGAAGGTGAAATCCATCAAAATTGAAACCGCATCTCCAAAACGTTCATCCTGCCTTAATATAATCTACAGAATACACTTGAGATGAGGCCCCTGGGGAAACTGCAAGTAACTGCCAATTTTGTTAATGATAATAAGTTTATTTTAATTGCTAATATATTCCTAATTACTTTAATTCTAAAATGTTTACTTCGCTGTCAGTCATCTTCTTTGATTTACGTTCTTTGTGAAAAGACTTTGTCATGTCAGTCAACCCTTTACAAGCTGGGTGGCAGCTGCTGAAAAATGATCTCACCTTCTCTGTCACACAGCTTGACTGGGCATCACTTGTCCCAAGGCAAGAGGTTTTACCCACGAAATCTTCTAGAGTTCATAACTTCTCATGTCAGCTTAGAGAAAATATTTTCAAGGCTTTGGTTACACAAACAGAAGACTGACACTGACTATTCCAAATTCTGATTTTAATATAATCTCTTACTTGCCCTGTCTCTTTCCACCTACCCAAATGTGTGTGCATGTGCGCACACACATGCACACATGTGTATTCAAATAATTGTTTCAAGAGCATGATGTATTTGGTGTAAGATTCTTCATCTGGGTGGGCATCCCATTAACTCATTTACTCATTTTTTTTTAGCAAACATGTATTGAGCCCCTAGGACTGGGGATAGAGTGATGACCAAGATTTAAAGGTTTTGACCATCTAGGAACTTATATACACATTCAGGAGATGGATAGTAAACAAATAAACAAAAAGACGATATAAGACAATTGCAGATGATGATGGGTTTGAAAAAAAAAAACGGGAGATGGACTAAGTTCGGAGGAGAGCTACTTTAGGTAATCAAATAGATCGCATTTGGGATGAGACCTGGGCATGAGAAGGAGCCAGTTATTTGAAGAGCTAAGGGAAGATTTTTCCCAGACTGAAGAAAGCCTGGCCTGTTAACGGAACGGAGAAAGG